TAATAAGTAATAATAACTAATAAGTAATAATAATAATAACTAATAAGTAATAATAATAATGATAATAACTAATAAGTAATAATAATATTGATAGCAATAATATTAACAACTGATGAATTTGCAAAATATGCTGTTGTTAACAAGTATGCCTACATACTTCTAAAATTTTACAAAATTATAATTATTAAACTTATTTGTAAAATATTAAAAAATTTAAATAAAATTTTTTAATGTGTTAATTTCATCTAACAAACATAACAATACTAAAAATTTATAAAGCGACGACAAAAATAAACAAATTATAAGGAATGTTCAAAGTCAATTAAACATAAATATTTCGAAATTTATACAAAAATTAATATGCAAACAGAAATTGAAATACATCCTTTCGTTAAGAAATTAACAAAACTAACAAAGCCATTATTTCATTTGTTTGGACTAAAGATAATATAGGTGATCGAAGTATTTAAAGTATTGCTTGAAACTGTTTAATTATTAATTGTGCTAATTGCGAATTGTCCTAAATCATTTTGTAATTTTCTAAAAAGAAAAATATATATATGAAGATTTGTCAATTTTCCTTTTCCTTTTCCTTTCATAAGCATGAAAAAATATTAATTTTGCCATAAAATTTATCCCTTCAAAAACTTCCAACAATTTTGTTTTATTTTTTAAAAAAAAATGTGAAATAAAATTCAATTTTCATAATATAAGCTATTAAAAACTGTTTAGTATTTGATAAAATAATAATTTATCGAATGTCGCATAATCAGTTATTTGCATCGTTAATTGAGAAGTTATTATAAACAAAAATCAATGAATAGAATGTTTGAAGGAATTGATTACATGATTTCCAATATCATGTAGTATTTCTTGTTTTCAAGTGAGTATAAATATTAAAGTGATAAATTGATTGTAATGCTTTAGAATGCAATTATTGATTGATATTTTGGAATTTTAATTTTTGGATTACGTATCAAATTGAAGTTTGTATTAATTAAAGCAAACATTTAATGTAAATATTTCAAATTTAATGTTATTTATGATCATTATAGGAGAATATATCACTAATCTTCGATCAAATTGCTAAAACAAGAGGACATTAAATTATAAAAAAAGAAAAAGAAAAATCGGTGACTGTCATGTTTCTTTCTGTCCGAACAACAAAAAACAAATTAATTAAGCGTCAACAAATAACCAATATTTCTATTATTATATCCGATATTACAATTAAAATATTGATTTCATTATAAAATCACAATTAAAAATGACGATTACAGTATCTCAATTTTAATTTAATTTTAAAACATGTCTTTAATGGATGATAACATTTTCTTCAGATCATATTTTTATCAAATACTTATTATCATTGAGTAAAATATTCTAATCATCACTATCAGCAATAACAATAACAACAACAACGATAGCAGTAATAATGATGATGATTATGATAATTTTGTATCAAATTTAAATATTTGTTAATTTTTTTCTTCTTGTAAAATTTCATTTACCAATGTACCCGATGATTCACATGAATTATTCCAAAAATCGGTCAAATTTTCAATCATATATTTTGGGCGTGGATTCATCCATAATAATCTTAAAAATATCAATTTATAAATTAATTAATAATCATTAATAAAATGAATATAAATTGTGCTTATTTTATTTTTCATATAATCAAAGACTTTTCCATTATCAATTTCTAACCCAGTTAATTATCTTAATTAATTACTTCAACTATTCGTAATAAAAATAACCTGCAAAGTTGACAAAATCCCCATGGCCGTTCAAGTTGATCATGAATATTTCCATCCAAATATAATACTTTATAATTTCGTCGCCATTCAAAATATTTCCTTAATATTCATCATATTCTTAATTGTTTATGTAATTTATTAAAACAATAAGTGAATGAAAATTTTTTGCATAAATAATAATTATATAGTGAAATAAGAAATGTTAGCTAAAATAATTAAATATTATTTTTAAAACTAAATATTTTTCTTTAATCATTAATTAAATAAATTATGATTAAAAAAAATGTAGTCTAATATTAATTTTCTGCTAATATTGATTACTTATGTTATTAATTACCTGTATGCTAATAGATTATGCATTAAATATTTCAAATAATTAGCCAGATCATGAATTGTTGTAAAATCATCAATAGCAATGAATGAATTTGGTGGTACATAAGGTTCAACGATTGATCGTTTTAATACAATTGGTATTATATCATGACCATAGCCATGTTTCCATAATTTTTCCGTTATATAATCTTTACATATTGAATTTTCAAATGCCAAATAGAAATAATAACTTAAAATTAATAGTAATTAAGTTTAGAATTTTATTTCATTGATAATGAGTTTTTCGTTTTAATTATTAATTATTAAAATACTAATATCCTTCAAAACAGCTTTAAATGATATTTGTACAAAATTTAAAAAATTTTTTTCATATTCTTTTTTTAAAGCAATTAATTACTCATCGTTTTATTTTTAATATTGCTTTAAATTTTGTTTATTTATAATAGATTTGATTAGAAATAACGAATTCGAAGCAACAATGCTTGCTATAGGTAAATTTATTCCTTCTGGTAAAGACTGCGAATTCGCGGTGCCATATGGAAGACTAAGAATTTTTAATATTATATACTATATATTTTAAATGTTTTAATGAAAGATTGTTAAATGGAAATTCGTGATGCAATATGAAAGACTGAGAATTCGTGATGCTACATGAAAGACTGAGAATTCTGATGCTACATGAAAGACTGAGAATTCGTGATGCAACATGAAAGACTGAGAATTCATGATGCTACATGAAAGACTGAGAATTCATGATGA